TTTCGACATCATCTCTAACCTCGCCCGTCGCGTTGTCAGTTAACCCAGCGAGGAGGTCTCCCAATCGTGATGTCAGTAATGCACCTTTTTTGGCCGGCTTGGCCGGGCGAGGCTTTGGAATTGGACGTGGGACTGCCGGCCCTCTGGGTGTAGGACCTCCCGTCCTGGGCTTCTTCAGCGGAGGTCTCCCGTCAGCCAGGTCATCATCCACATTATGCTCCGTATGATGAGTGGCACTCTCCTTATCACTCTCGGCTTCTGTCGATGACTCCCGAGGCCTTCGGATGGTAACCCTCTGTTGCCTTCTCACTATACGAGTCTGAGGAGAGGGCGAGTTGCCAGATATGACAGATGGTACCATGTCCCCATCTTTGTTCTTCCATGCTTTGAACAGAAATGTGGGCCCTTCGCCTGTTTCTTGCCGAGCGAGCCAAAACTGGAGCAAGGTAGTGGTGTCCCAAATTTGCAGCTTCGAAGGTTCCTTCAAGTCAACATCCGCCGGAAGATACGTCCGGGCCACGAAGTCATCCTGACTTTGTACAATGGCACTCCATGGCACAACCGCCTTGTCCTTCCCGGAGCATATCCCTTTGTCCATGCATTGAACAATTTGTCAGGTGATGCGACGACAAACTCACGATAGTGCGATGTAAGAAAGGCCCTTACTATGGCCTTCTTCTCCTCAAGTTTGGTGTCGGTGATGTCCGGAAGGAGTGGCATACCCTCCCCGTCCATTTCGAGTTCGAAGGCTGGTTTTCGAATTCGTTTTCGACCTCCCTTGACCTGACGTCCTCCATCCCGTGCCCCGGCGCCTATCATTGTGATGCTCAATATGTTCAATCTGGTATACATGGTTCACACACTCACCGAACTGTTCCTGCGCGTACTCCTGCCACACTGGCTCAATGTCCTCCCAGTCCTTCGTCTTCATGAAGCTGTCCCCATCTCCTAAGGCCTCATTATCATCATGCCTGCATGAATATTTTGAGACGAAAAATCTCCATCTATGGATAAATGTACTCACATCCCGAACAGCACCTCGCCCTTTTCATTCTTCCAAGCTGACATCACAAACACTCTCATCCCACATTGCCTCCACATCTCGTTCGAAAAGTGCTCCATATATGCCGGACCCTTCTTACGAGCCACTTGTGCTTGTATCTCCGGAGGCGGACAGTTGTTGGACCACTCTTCGGCTGTTTCTTTAGCCTTCTCCAACTCGTCGTCGTCCAATTCAGCCATGACTCTCTTCACCGCCGCCTGATAATGTTTGAACATACCAGGATCTCCTGGCTTTACCCCGGACTCGTCCTCAATCCTCTTCAGCACCTCTTCGCGTTTTTGCTGGTAGACCACCATCCTGGGAGTCCATTTCCTCCCATACTTGATCATGTCCTTCCTTTCCTTCTTTTTCTTGTTGTTGAACAACCAAGTCTTGTACACCTAAGAGTTGATGAAAGAATGTGACGTTAAAAATTTAGTTTTTCAACACAACAAAGAAGCCTCACCTGCTTCCTCTTTTTCCATTGTTTTTGGTCCAACTTCGGAGCAAACAACCTGGCCGCCCTTGCTATGGCAGTGAAAATCGCTCGCTTCTCACTCCTTTTGGCAGCAGTCCACTCAGGAAGGTAGTTCTTCAACTCCAAAATCTCCTTGTCCGTGAGCTTCTGAGACTGTGGTTGACGCATCCTGTGTCTTCCGGAAGTCGTGTTGGTGGAATGACCTGTTCTTGCCATAGTGAATCAAAATGCAGAAATGGCTAAGGATTTTCAAGGTGAAAGTATTAATGAATTGTGCGAAGTTGAACTTTGAGCAAAGCCTAATGATAGGTTAATCGGCCCATATTGGACCCTGAGCCATTAATGGAAATGAATTTGTAATAAGCCAACAGGACTGCACCGCATCATATTGCAATAACAATTCATTACACCTGAGCTGATGCCTTGCTTGCAACATTAATAAACAAGATGAAGATAGGTAGATGCACCCCAGTGCAAAAATCTCACAGGGTGGAAGCAAGGGGCAGCAAAGGTAGGAAGACTTGGGTCAAGGTCCCACTTGCAAGCACGAGGCGACATGCCTACAGGTCCATGCCTAACTCTCCCCCGGAATCACCAACAATTCAGCCTGTTGAGGCACCGCCTCCTTGGGAAGACTTTCCTGACAATACTTACGAGCAGGACCAAGGCTCATTTGAGCCTTTGCAACTCCCAAAAACCATGGCAAGTTCATGTACAATGTTGGAGTGTCATTCAAACTATGGCTAAGCATTCAAAATACAGAGTCAAAATGACTACCTCAGGCAATGGCTGCCAAGGCAGGAATCATATCTACATCACCTCCTCGATCGAGAAGCTCCACCCGAAGACAGGAGATGCATCATCTGCCAACAGGATGGGGTGTACAAATGTCAAGATTGTCTTGGCGAGCCACTTTATTGCACGGGCTGTTGCAGGAGTCAACATCGTAGCAATCCTTTCCACTGGATCAGTCAATGGAATGGGCGATTCTTCGAGCGGAGTTGTCTAGCTCATGTGGGACTCATTATATACCTTGGCCATGATGGCAAACAATGTCCGGCGGTCACCGATCGGTGGGATTTGTTTGAAGAAGATGAACCCGAAGACCTGCTCGAGCCTGAAGATCTGCCATTTGTGTCCGGACCCGAGTTCCAGCCAAAGGAAAACACCATGGTCATCGTGGACAAGTCCGGAGTTCATCGCCTGGAGGTTCGATGCTGTGAATGTCCGAATGCCATGAGTCCGGACATTCAAATGTTTCGACACGGATTTTTCCCTGCATCTTTTAACAGGCCAAAGACTGTGTTCACCTTCAGAGTGCTCAATGATTTTCTACTGGACAGCCTTGAATGCGGCACCTCGGCGATGAACTATTACAGCAAGCTCCGGCGAATGACCTCCAGCATGTTTCCACACCTTGTTCCGGTAATGCCTTACCCTCATGATATACTGGACATCATATTGACAAAGCACATTGCAAGGACCGATACAGAGAGCTCATGAGGGTCGCTCGACAGTGGAGGCAGTTGAAGACAATGAAATGGCATGGCTTCGGCCATCGTTCTGATAACCCGAGCACAGGAGAACTTGCATTATTTTGCCCGGCATGTCCTCAGCCTGGGATTAATGTGCTGTTGTCAGAGGATGAATCTCTTGATGAGTGAGTCCTATTCTCAACCTATGTGGCCTCCATAATAATACTAGGGATCCAAGCTGGAAATACACCCGGTCATTTGTGATGGACGGAAATTTCAAAGCCGAACATCTGCATCCCATTAAGCCATTCGATGAAGTTTGGCTGTCCGATGGGCTTGGATTCATGGTAGGAAAGGACAGGTATAAAATGCACCTGGCAGAGGCTGCTGACACAGTGGAAAAATCAAGCTGCAACAATCACCGGGCAGTAAATCAAGCTAATGCTGCTCGGCACAAGCTGGAGTCCACCGGTATCGGGGGAGTTGCCTGTGCCAGACACGGTTGCTTTGTCCCTCACTCCATGGTGGATTTTCAGAAAGGCGAAAGGCAAGCCACATCCACCATTCCCCATTCACGAGTTAACCATGGGTCACTTGCAGACAAATGAACATGGACTACGCCCTTTGCGAGGCTTCCCGGCACAACATGGAAGGCATCACCAGGGCTGTCACCTTCTATGATATTAATTGTCAATACAACAAACACTTTCGGGTTCGGGTGGATCGAAGTCGATTTCTAGAAATGGCACCACAACTAACCATCATTCCCGGAATTGGGTTGTGGCACGTTCATGGCCATCAGGACAGCTGCTATGTCCGATATGCTTCTAACTTTATTGAAGGCATTGGTCGGATCGATGGAGAGATCATGGAGACGCTATGGGCACGGCTCAATTTGATCTCCCCTGCTGCTCGGGGAATGTCATCTCCCCACCGAAAGGAATGCCTTGATTATCAGATGAATGACTCCAATTTCTGCAAGATGATTCGCATGAAAAGGACTCTATGCCGGAAATACAAACTGGCTAGGAATGGTATCTTAGAAAGTGGAAAGGCATTCGACAGACTCGATGAAGCAGCACCCTCACATTTGAAGACAGAATGGTTAGCCAGGGAGAGGATAGCTCAGTCAAGCAGATTGAATGATCCTTCAGCCATGGATGAATATGAGATCAATATCAAAAAGGGTATGTTGAGTTCCATTGTCTCCGTCGAGGACTGAATTAATATTGCACTCAGCACCTAGCAAAAAGGAGATCGAGCTTAGATTGTTAGAGGAGGGTAACGCCCGCAATGCAGCACCCTCTCGCAGATCTGTGGCGACATGGATATCAACAGGGTTAGCAATTGAAGAGGCTCAGATTGCATTGCTCATCGAGGTCCGAAGGATCGGAAGAAGATCCACCGAGACACAGAGATTAGACATCGCCCGTCAAAGAGATCGGCTCCAAGGCCAGATAGATGGATTTGCTCGGTCTGCTCTAACACATCTCGGGGAGGGATTTGATGCAGATGATGAACCTGAAGACTTGGACGTAGACATTCTAGATGATCTCGATGATGACCCTGGCGGATTTCACAGAGACATCTCACACATGGACAAACTCTCCCGAGCTAACTGTAATCCCATTGCCATCAAACCTGGGGGTTGACAGATGCAGACGATGCATGGCAGAGGATCTGATTCCCCTGGAGATGTCGCTTCGTGAAGGGCAGGCCAATGATGCCCTTCACAATCTCCGCATTTACCTTTGCAACAAGGCCATCCTGTTCCGAACAACCGTTAGGCAGGCCAATTCCCAGGCCCTGAAAACTCGAGCTTGGTCCCAGGTGACGTCGGTGCAGCAGGCAGTCTCCCTCCATGCCAGCATATATACAAAGACAAGGAAGCAAATGATGAAACTTGAGCCGGGGCAAGACCAGCTTCAGAAATACAAACCCCTGCTTCGCGAGCAACTCAAAATCAGCACTGCAGTGGGCGACCCAAATGCCCTGAGGTCAACGAAATGAATCTTTGGCTTGGTTTTGGTCTGTTGAAGTCGACCTCGGGGGTCCTGATCAATCGTGGAATGAAGAATGTGAGTTCCCGCTTGCATGTCATATCCCGCGGTTACCTGACTGGACCCATGCCAAGTTTACCGAGTCCATTGGCTGAGGGCAAAGGCACTACGGGATCGATGGAGGGAAGAAATGCTATTGGTCACATTCGAGATGGATTGGACATGTAAGTTCTTTTTGTGGAAAACAACCATATGGGGCGAGCACATGCAGGAATCATTGGAGAAACGACTTCCGGGTCACGGATGCTACGCCGGAAGGCAATCCCACATGTATTCATTGCTGGCACAGGATGCGCAGGCAGCTTTTCAAGACCTACAAAACGTGTTGATAGAGGCTGGAGATGAATGAACATTGTTTTCTCATGAAGTCCCTTTTTCCACATACATAATTGACGCCCGGGAATTGTCCGGGTCAGCCCATGTCGGAGTTTGAATTTCGTATCCATCCATCAGTGATTCTTATCTTCACATCTTGACCATCTTTCACTTGTATTGCCAGCGCCATAGTCCTGTATTAGCCATGTCTGCATCTCATGCATCCACTTCTGGCACTCTGAATCCCGGAAGCCATTACCGACCTCTGAAGCTGAGCCTTGCAACTATTTCCTGCACATTGGCAATGGCTGGATCGCGCGTCCGTGCAATCATCTCTCAATATCGGACGGAAGCTGCCAACAATGGTCTATCTGCTGACCGGATCAAGTATTTTAAAGCCGGGCTGCAATGGGAGATGAATGTATGTCACCACTGCCCTGATGACTTTGTTGGTCAATGCTAAGAATTTGAGCAGACATTTGTCACACCACTCCTGCAGTACTCCGCTTCACAGAATATCGTGTCGGTTCTTCCGGTCCCTATTGCTTATATCCTTAAGTTGTATCCCATGCTGACCTGGAACACTGTTCCGGACGACGTCTTTTCATTCCACCTCCTTTCATTTCATGATGAGCCAATTGCAGGACATCCGTCCCGGATTGTGTTCGCATATACATGTCCATGGTGGATGGGAAACACCACAATCCCTGATCAACCATGGCAGTGGGATGAAATAATGGCTTCCTGCGTCTCTCACTACCAGTATTGGGCGGTAAGATGTCAGCTGAATTACCTTGATTGATGACTTATCTGTTTCAGCTTAATGTTGAGGATGATGCTTTGGTACTTCCAGAGAAGTTGAAAAACACTTCGACTCCACCACTCATGGGACTGAGATTCATCAAAGAACGCATGGAAGCATTGCTGGAGGAGCAAGATCAGGGCATCGAAGCTAAGATGGGAGAGGTGAAGATGTACACTGACATGTTAGAGAAATTGAGGAAAGGCAAAGGAGTGTAGTCCCATTCACTCTTCATTGTATACAAGATGTAACATATTCTATGCATTCAAAAATCTCACATTTGAGTCCCGGACGCCCAGGTCCCGAGTCCCGAATTTCGGAGGTCGGAGGTCGGAGACCCGGAGCTCGGCAACTGTGTTGGCTGTCAGGGTATCCAGACCATTGGAGATAGCATGTGTCAGTATTTTGCGTTTCATGGTTTATGTTGGGTGAATATGGAATTGGGGATCAGGGACTCGGTATTCAGAACAGTGTCAAGTCCCAGGTCACAAGCTCCGAGTTCCAAGTACCGAACCCCGAGTCCCGAGTCCCGAATTTCGGAGGTCGGGGCTCGGAGACCCGGAGCTCAGCAACTGTGTTGGGTGTCAGGGTATCCAGACCATTGGAGATAGCATGTGTGAGTATTTTGCGTTTCATGGTTTATGTTGGGTGAATATGGAATTGGGGATCAGGGACTCGGTATTCAGAACAGTGTTGAGTCCCAGGTCATGAGCTCTGAGTCCCGAGTCCCGAAACCCACACCCAGCAGTTGCCGAGCTCCGGGTCGCCGAACCCCGACCTCCGAAATTCGGGACTCGGGACTCGGGGTTCGGCACTCGGGACTCGGAGCTCGTGACCTGGGACTTGACACTGTTCTGAATACCGAGTCCCTGATCCCCAATTCCATATTCACCCAACATAAACCATGAAACGCAAAATACTGACACATGCTATCTCCAATGGTCTGGATACCCTGACAGCCAACACAGTTGCCGAGCTCCGGGTCTCCGAGCCCCGACCTCCGAAATTCGGGACTCGGGACCTGGGCGTCCGGAACTCGGTATTCAGAACAGTGTCGAGTCCGGAGTCCACAATGTCGGGGTTCAGGGTTTTGTTAAATGTGTATGGCAATAACAAATGTTAATTCGAGCGTATTTATACATCTTCCCCCAGTCTCAAATATCACTTGCTGAGGTCCGGGTGTCGGGACTAAGTACCCCGGCACTCAGGACTCCCATATGTCAAGTCCCGAGTTCCAATTATTGAATACCGAGGCTTGCATCCAAATTATTTAGTCCCACATATCACTTGGGAAATGCTCAAAATTGAGTATTGAGGTCCGGATCACAATTGGTACATGGTATTCATTTGTTGGAATGTATATAGGTCACAATGCTTGCTCTTTGTTTGATCTTTCACACACTGTATGGACCATCCACACTAGCCCATCCACATGATGGAACACCAGCATAAATATGAACAGCATCCCTCATATACCATGCCCAAGCAATCCGATCCCCTTCCACATCATACACTCCATGTCTCACAATCTTTCCGGAAAACGCAATCATACAGCCGGAATTGTACTTGAACTCCAGCTGAAGGTTTGGCATTGTCATCCGAGCATTAGAATAGTCCCCCACGGTGGTGAGAATGTCAAAGCATTCAGCAATGGACATGTGGTCTCGATGATGGGGGGTTTCCCGATTGGAAATAATGGAGAGGGTGTTAAACACGGATGCCCAGTACTGCAGGGCCTCCGGCATCTGTGGCAGATCCTTGCTTACTGCTATATTTCCAAGGTTTGACAAGGTTCTCAACCCTGCCCAGTACTGCTCAGGATGCATGACTCTGAGTGCCGCGGACGCGATGGCTGCTGGCCTTGCAATGGCTTTGAGGATATTCTCGCAGGAAGGTCCCTTCAATGATGCAGATACCTCCGGATCGGACACATTCTTTGGGATTGGTAAGTATGACTGCCGGAATCACCATCTCATCAGATCCTACCTCGTGTCCCTGTTGAAACCATGCCGGAGATAGATTGATGCATCCGGGAGTTGCTCCAACATCTTCCGAGCCCCGGTTGAACAACCTTTGATTAGTTCGCCAATTGCCATCAGCCCTTACACTTTTTTCGAGGCTTGGAGAGAGCAAATAGGTGGCCTCCCTGATTTCCTTCTGTAGGTTCCATTAATATTCGATATCCATCGAGTAACAATGTATATTACACACCTGGGTGGTGTCTGTCAGGGCGTCTGGGAGATACCATGCAATGATGGCACCGGATGCATCAAGAATTATTGCAGGTTCATCGACCAACCTTTTGCCTTCATGGCCAGGAGGACACCTCTCAAGCAACCTCGCCTCTTTATGTTCATTATGCCCGGTGTCCTTCGGGGAGATCAATTTGCTATATCTTGCAATATCCATCTGCATCTGAACTGTCATGCAGGAATTTGAATGATAAATAGAATTTTCCGAATCTGCAGGAAGACCCACTGGGATTTTTAGATGCCTTTATGAGTACATCAGCCAAGCGATCGCACGCCATCACCAGATCAGTGTCTAGGTTGGGGGAAGGTATGACTGGGCCTCCTCCAGTCTTCTCTGCCTTGAATTTCTGTTCGGTATATTCCCCTGCTTCATAAGTCACAGTCAGGGCCCAAGTGCGCCAGATGTTTATGCTATCAGGAGGGGAAGGGGAAGAACCGTTCATGCTGGATGTTAATCTTGGGAAATCAGACGCTGAATGCTGGATGTCCGGACTTTGGTGTTATAGGGGGTGGAGATAGAGAGGATCAGATAAGGGAGCGATGGATAATTTTGGCCGCTGTCAAAGATGTATTATTATCCATTGCTCAATGAAATACTACCTGATTGGAAGTGTGCTGGTCATCAGATATTCATTTGTCGACTCCCGGGTCCCGGTACTCGGAAGTCGGTACGGTTGACCCATATTTGAGTGGTCGGAATTTGGCGTCTCATAGGGCAACACAAGCTTCGTACTGCCATATCAGGAGATCACCTGCTGCTCCGGGAACTCGGTAACTGTGATTTATTACCTCCTCTGAGTAAGGTTGACTCGCTGGTCATCAGATATTCATTTGTCGACTCCCGGGTCCCGGAACTCGGAGGTTGGTACAGTTGACCCATATTTGGGTGGTCGGAATTTGGAGTCTCGTAGGGCAACACAAGCTTCGCACAGCCATGTCAGGAGATCACCTGCTGCTCCGGGAACTCGGTAACTTTGATTTATTACTTCCTCTGAGTAAGGTTGACTCGCTGGTCATCAGATATTCATTTGTCGACTCCCGGGTCCCGGAACTCGGAGGTCGGTACGGTTGACCCATATTTGGGTGGTCGGAATTTGGAGTCTCGTAGGGCAACACAAGCTTCGCACAGCCATGTCAGGAGATCACCTGCTGCTCCGGGAACTCGGTAACTTTGATTTATTACCTCCTCTGAGTACGGTTGACTCACATTTTGGCGGTCGGAACTTGGCTTCTCGTAGGGCAACACAAGCTTCGCACCGCAGATTCCATATTCTGCAAGACAACCTAAGCACCATCAGAGGCCATGTCAAGAGAGCACCTGCTGCTCTCTTCAGAAACATCTGAACTTCGGTTGGCCATTTAACACGGAAAGTATTAACTAAATTATGTGTTGAGTTCCGGGTCCCGGAACTCGGAACTCGGAACTCGGTACAGTTGACTCCAATTCTGGTGGTCGGAACTTGGCTTCTCGTAGGGCAACACAAGCTTCGCACCCCGGATTCCACATTCTGCAAGACAACCTGTGCACCATCAAAAAGTATTAACCAACTTATGTGGTGAGTTCCGGGTCCCGGAACTCGGAACTCGGTACAGTTGACTCAAATTCTGGTGGCCGGAACTTGGCATCTCGTTGGGCAACACAAGCTTCGCATTGCCATGTCAGGAGATCACCTGATGCTCCGGGAACTTGGTAACTTTGATTTATTACCTCCTCTGATTTGGTTGATGTACAACTACCTCAGCTCCATCATGTCTACAATTATGATACACATGGGCCCACCCATCTATATTGTATACCACCCTCGGCCCACCGGTCTAATTAATATGCGTCTGGGCCCACCCGTATAATACAATATTTTATAATACCCTCGGCCCACCCGTCTAATTTAATATGTGTCTGGGCCCACCCGTGAATGTGATAACAAGTACCTACCCATCTATCTCATACACATCTACCTTAATACACCCATCTGCATAATA